AGACACAAGAAGTAGAAATCCACAGCGGCAGTTTTTGGAGTTGGGATCTGATTTCCTGTCCTTCTGGGAATGCAAAGGGGATCTTCAGGCAGAAGCTTCCCAGTATAGGAGAGGCCAAACAGTGACAAGAGGTTCCAGCTCAAAGGGCTTGCTAACAATTCAGGTGGGCAGTGATTAGACTGAGGACATGTGTGGTGAGTCTGGCTCCAATTAGAATGACCAATGACCCCAGTAGAGATTAACGGTAGGTCATTGGGTTAGTATAAGTATAAGTGTGTAAGATGTGGGCATTTTCTACAGAGCACCACTGTTTTCTGGTGAGTAGGGACTGTAGAGACACAGGCAGAAGAGGTATGTTCAGATCCTAGAAGAATGCAGATAGATCCTCCAGTGCAAAGTGATGGATCTGCCATACTTTCTGACAGTAGGGCTAAAAGGAAAGTCCCATTGGTGCTGGATGTGGTTATCATGTAGGGTTGTTAGTAAAGGTGCAAGAAGTTTTCTCTGTTGAAATGTGAGCCAGGAAAGGTTTGAGAATAATTGCACAGGGGCACCAGTAAATTCAAGTGATCTCATATTGCGTGTTTTTTGCATATACTCCTCTTCAGTTGCCTCTGGGAGTCGGTGGACGTGAATATTGTTCTTCCTCCCTCGATTGTCCAGAACCTCTAAATGTAGCTTAAGGCCGCAGAGTGCAGTAGTTTGGGTGACCATGCAGTTTTGAAGCTGGGTCAGTTCTTGTTTAGTAGACTGTAAATCCACCTCTAGGGTCTCAACTCTGAGAGGTGGTGGATGTTTTGGCAAAGCAAGATTATTTCATAGCATCAGGTATCCTTCACCTCCTTAGTTAGTAAACAAAAGTCCTTTTTAGTAGTTATGCAGTGGGCATATTCTTCCCAGGGCATACATTTTTCTGGATCAGTATCTGAATCTGAAAGTTGTCCCCCTGTCTAGTGTCTCTCTGTGAGATGTAGGCAAAAAACGAGCAACTAGAAAGCAAGCCTTATGCATTCCTGGTGAGGAGGTGATGTTGTGACCCCAGTAGGGTGACAGTTTGGACTCTTCTGCCTTACCAGAATCTGTGTCTCCTACTCCTCAATGAGCGCTGCAGGTGGGAGTTGATAAAGGGAGCCTAATTTTGAGCTCCTCTATTCTCTCCATCTCTTGCATGAAGCCTGCCTATGACAGCTAATGTGACAACCACTATGACCATAATTAAGAATAAGCCTAATTGTGCATTTTAATGCAGCTTCCTTTTAATACAATAAATTCCATATAATACGGAACAAGTTAGTTGGAATTATTATTTTAGCAGGGCCAGTGATCTCCTGATCTACTAAAGCCCTGCACAAGAAAAGGCAAACAAATTATCACACAGCAAGATGCCCACATGACTGCACCAATCCATCCCTTTTCTGAAAGTTTATGTGTACTAGTTTTATGTACTTTGGCCAAGTCTCAAGCAACAGCGTGGCAGACCTGGGGTGATCTAAGAGTGGTAGCTGTCTCACCACCTATTGTTTTTGTAGAACCTCTGCACATTTACCTAACAGGGAAACCCCCGACATCAATGTAATTTTTTTTTAGTGTTGTGAAGGGTTAGAAGCTTCAGCAGGCTGCTTTTTGTGTGCCCAGTTGGGGGATTCTCCTCACTTCCTATGTGGTCATAAGAACAGAAACACTTCAGTTGGGACAAAGACAAGACCAGAAAGGTGACTGAGCTTATAACCCTACCATACTGTACCCAAAAGTGAATTAAAATGTTTTGGCTGCAGTTAAGCTTTAACACTTACTGTATACCTACATTAAAAAAACAAACACTGAACCTTATTTGAAAAATGTACTAAATAAGCTAGAGGGCATTTTACTCTCTTCTTGGCAGTACTGATAAATGAACTGTTAAGCTGTTTATAATGAACAAACGTTATGTATAATTGTGCTTCAAGGATGCTTCCATGGATATTAGTCATGTGAAATTTGCTGAGTTTGCCCCAGTGCCACTCATAGAAAAATGATGAACAGAGTTGGCACGTCCACATCATTAAACCAATGTGACCCATTTCTAACAAACCTTATTTCTTCTCATGGCACCAGAAATGTTAAGCTGACAAGACATGAGCTGGTAACTTGAATAGAAGCTGTCCTTCTGCCTGATGTATTATTATTTAACAACAGACTTTGCAGATCTCTAAGCCTGAAAAAGAGTTCTAGTTTCAAACCCTAGCATACTCTGTGTCAGCAGAAACTGATTATAACCTTCTAATTACTCCAGCTACCTTCCATTTATTAACCAGTTCCCTACCACACTAAGTAGACATTGCTCTGCAGGGACATAGGATAATGTCCTTCCTGGAAGACAAGCGGTTAAAGGCCCTAACATTTTCCATCATTTTATAATCGAGCCCAGAGGCATAATGTCACGGACAGTAATTCCAGTCTAAGATACACAATGCTTTTATTATTTTTTGGTTTTCTTCAGTGTATACCATCTTGTTCCTTGGACGTGTCCTATTTAATATTTGTCTTCTGGGTTAGGGTTTGTCTTTATGATATAAAACACACAAGAAACACCAGCTGGATCTGCTTAGCCCAGTGACAGGAGCTTATAGTGGTTTACATATGTGTGACACTAATGGTAAGATAGAAGTTAAAAATTGTAGCCAACATGACACAAAACTAATGTGAATAAAGCAAAACTAAGCACACTAAAATAAGCCAAGGATGATATTATCATGCTGATGTACTATGCTAGAATTTGCAGAGTTAGTTTAAGAATAAAAAGTATGGTGTTTAGAAATTAACTGGTAAATGCTATCTGCCCACACCATGGTTGACTTCAGCTGTGATAGATTATATCTACAAGTAAAGTCTGGATTAGTTTGGGACTGGGGTAGTTCAGGCTCCAAAGCTGGCAAAATGAATGAGTGTGTGAAGAAAAAAAAGCCAGAAGGGCAAATCACGTGACTTGCCTTATCTTCAAATCACAGTTCTCCATGCTGCAGGATCTACACAGTGGTCTTCATTTTATGACTGGACCAGAAAATACAAGCTGCAGTGTGCAACCTTAGGGCATATAACTGAGAGCAGGTAGGAAAATCTATTCTCCTTCATAAATGAACACCAAACTGAAGCATTTGAACCAGAGAAAAATTTTCATTATGACACTTTGAAGGGCAAAGCATCAAGTTCACTTTAATCCTGGCCCCCACAACTTCTTAACCACCTCAATACCATAATGTTACATTACCGTCCTTTCCAGGCCATTTTTCAGTTTTCAGTGCTATGATAGTTAGACTTGGTAATGCAACACTGTACCCAAGTTCATTTTATGCCACAGAGCTTTCTTTTGATGGCCTTTAAAACCCACT